TATATACTTTTTAGGTATGATAGTATTTTTTTTTTGAAATAATAGGTATGATAATATTTTAAATCCATAAACAAATGTCTTTGCGAGTTTTTGAGCTGAATATTTGTTCGGCTCAATAATATGAAGGAGCTTGGTTACACGCAGAGTTTGGTTTTGAAACTCCAGCCTGTAATCAAGTAGAGATTTGACTTGAGTTGGAGCTGTCCATTAACAGTTCAGCTTGGTGACAGCCCTAGATATGGGAAGAGATGAATTAGGGATATGAATTAGGTGTTTTTCTATTCTCTACTTTTTACCTGTGATGCTCCTGCTAGGATTTTAGGGATAAATGTGGTACATTTTACAAACTCTTGATTGTTTGTTGTGGACTTATTCTCAAATCTTTCCTACTTTTAATGGCTGCTGTTTTACCATGTGATAAGGGTTTAACTTGTTAGGATGGCCTTGGTCTGATCCAAGCCACTGATCTTAATTATACATGAACCTTTATCTAGTAAGTAATCCCTTTCTTTTTGTTCTGTGTTAAGTGGCTGAGACAGTGGGGTGTTGCTCCGTCACTTGATTCTTATCAAGAACTCATTTTTCCGGTTTTAATTATAGGATGTTGGAAATCCTAGAACATTATCCATTTTATTGTGATGTTTGGTATTGAGGTCATCTTAGTGGCCTTGGCCTTAATTTTCCTGTTACCATTTTTTCCCCATTTACAGCTATATATCCCATGTCTCCATATGTTTATCTTATTCACTTTGTTGCTGACTGCAAAGAAATTTATGTACGTTTTGTTGTTTGTAGTTGGATAAAGAAAAATGGAGGTGAGCACCATAAATTTTTTCATGTGAAATTCTGGCTGCCTCATTTGTGTTGTTATTCTTTATAAATTTTTGTGTGTTATAAATGGGCGGCACTCTCTTGGTGGCTTTACTTAATATACTTATCACACTTTTTAATTTCTTGTGTTCTTACATCAAAAGTTTAGCAGGCAGCTTGTTTGTTGTGCAGGTTATACTTAGTCATGCTCACCAGAGAAGTCAGATGTCTGAGTCGCTCCAGATGGTGGAGAAAGGGATATGGAAAGACGCGGAGGGTGCTCTTCCTTTTACCTTACCTCGGTGTATCTAAAGCCATGTATACTGTCACACTCGGATTGAGTAGGTGGCAGTAATGGATTGATGGATGCTGGAATGGGTTTCTGGCAACCATGTAGAAATAAGATGGTGTAAAAGTACGCAGTAGAATCAACATACGATTCTTTTTAGTAGGGCTGGTTCCGGCATTTGGGTATAGATAGTCAAGTCTCTGGTGTCAGTGGTGTCCGTCTCCTGCATTGTATTCAAACATGATTCTAGCTTTTTGTGCATATTAGTTTCTTTCTAGGTTTTAATCAGACTGTCAAAATCTTGCATTCTGGATGATTATGAGAGCTTCGCTTCAAAATATGGGGGAAGCTCCCCACATGTTTTAATTTAATCAAAATTTTGTGTGTAGTCATATTCTCACATTCTCTAGTATTGATTTGGATGCCAGATTGGTTTATTGTTGGAACCAAACTTATTGTCAATAAATATTATTTTTGAATACATAAAAAGTTAAATCATGAATTAATATAAAATATTTCGTCTAATTTGTTAGAATGAATCTCAAAAGTTCATAAACAAAGGAACAAGCTTTCTATGTAGTTGATGATGAGCTTTAAAATTATAACTACTAAATGATTATGCTACAGTCTACACTTTTTCGCTTCTCATTTAAAATTTCCATGTTAATATGAACTACATCAGCGGAACCATTTTGCAATTTCTTTATTTCTGGAGCTGACAGTTGAGACCACTACTTGGATCTCTTCCAAGGCTTCGTAACCCGACCCGTTGAGAAGATGAAAGGGTAAATTCCAAACTTCAAAATCCATGGGGTCGGTTCAGCACTCGAGTTGATTCTCACAAAGGGGCGATTTTGAAAGAAGTATGGCCACAAAATCGTCGTTGAAAGAACCAGCCGGACCTGGAATTCCTCCCGACACACCCTCTAAATCCCCCCAAGTGTCACCAACCCCTATCAAAACCGAAACTGCCACCTCTGCGCCTGCTGCTTCCCGCCCGCTGTCTCTGCCTCCGCCTCCGCCGCCCTTCTCCGAAGCCGACTCTGTCCATGTCCCCAGCTACTCTAGTACGTTTGCACTTTCTTTTCGTTTTTTTTTTTTAACTCAACAGAAAATGAAACAGGAACGTGTTAGATGAGCATAAATGGCGTAAATTTGCAATTTGTCAGGATGGTTCTCGTGGAACACCATACACGAATGTGAGGTCCGGTTGCTGCCGGAGTTCTTCGAATCTCGGTCTCATTCGAAAACCCCAAAAGTTTACATGTACTACAGGAACTCCATTGTTAAGCAATTCAGAGATAATCCTCCAAGGAAGATCACCTTTACTGATGTTAGGAGGACCCTCGTAGGCGACGTCGGTTCCATCCGCAGGGTCTTTGATTTCCTCGAGGCATGGGGCCTCATCAATTATTCCCCATCCGCTCTGACCAAGCCCTTGAAGTGGGACGATAAGGACGCCAAGTCCCCTGCTGACGCCTCCCTCCAGTCTCCTCCCACCATTATTAAAGACACTGCCAAGAGAATCTGCAGTGGTTGCAAGTCTATTTGCAACATTGCCTGCTTTTATTGCGAAAAGGTCTCTCTCTTTTCCCTTTTCCTGTTTAGTTTAATCCTTAAATCAATCGTTAGTAAGTTTTCTTTTTTCGTTTTAAGATGTTCCCCGTTGCATGTTTGTTGTTTGTTGGCCTCTTTAATTTACTTATTATATTTCAGAAGCATACTCTATGCTGCGGCTGAGTAATCATGTGTTCCAATTGTAGAGATTCAGATATCTGATATTGCATTTTTATCATGTCTGAGTAAATACGCATTAGGACTATCTACGCATGTATATGTAAGTTCATTTCTTCAGGAGCCGTAACTGAGGAATAAGTAAGACTATTTTATTTACTTATAAAGTTTAAAATACGAGACAATATAAAGGGGCATGTTAGTTATTGAATGCGATGTTTTATGTTGTTTAGTTGTTATGAAACATAAAACATTGTTTATGGGCAATTCTATGTACCAAACACATAACTCTACCTTGTGTTGTCCTATGTTGTCATGTTGAGATCCATCCTGTTAACTTATTTCATTTCACCAAATCCTACTTTCCCTTAGGGAAATGCATAAATTTTGTGCTCAATATAATAGGCATTGATAAAATCTAATTCCTATGATGATTTTTGCAATTTCTGTTTGTGCAGTATGACTTGACTCTTTGTGCAAGGTGCTATGTTGGGGCAACTATGGGCGTGGTGTTCATCCTCATTCTTCAGAATTCAAGAGAGTCGAGATCAGTGAACAGACAAAGGCAGATTGGACAGACAAAGAAACTCTACAACTCCTGGAAGCCATTATGCACTATGGTGATGACTGGAGGAAGGTTGCCCAGCATGTAAGTGGAAGAAGTGAGAAGGATTGCATCACTCATTTCATAAAACTTCCTTTTGGGGAGGAATTTATCAGTTGCGCAGACTCTGGGGAGGTTGATGATAGGTTTAACGAAATGAAAGATCCTGCTGACACTGAGTCAGGATATGAAGGTATTGGCACAACACCCTCTACCAAAAGAATGCGTCTGACGCCTCTTGCAGATGCAAGCAACCCAATAATGACTCAGGTGTGGATTGAGCCCTATCGCAATTTTGAATGGATGTGATTTAATGTTTAAAAAGGAAGTTGAACTGACAAAAAATGATATCAGGGTTCAAATTTTATCATTAGTGATTTAAGATGTAAGCGCAATGCATTGAATCCTGAACCTAAATCTACTAATGTTCATACTGGTGTTTTGTTGTGTGAGCCAAGCATTTTAATGTTTTAGTTTTTCTGTGTTTTAATGATTTAATGGTCCTTCGCTATCCATTTTTTTTCAAAAAAAAGGTTCTTTGCTAATTTGCTTTCAACAGTATAGAGAGTTCATAATCATCCCCTTTACTTCATTTCTGAAGGGTATTTCTTTATCTCTTTTGCTTTTGCTAATGAGGCACTTAGATCTGAGAATGGGTAGGCCCTTAAGTGGGATTAAAACCAAGACCATGGAAGGGAATCTCTAGCCACCAGGCCACTCAGATCTCCCCCGACAGTGACTCTTCTTAACTTTGCATACCTCCTTCGGACGTGACATAGATCCGGGTGATGCAGCTATGTTGAATCTATGGCTTAAATTTAGAGACTATATTGTTAGCAACACTTTAGGCTAGGGAGAGGTGTGCTACAATTATGTTTTGGATTTAAGCTGTTTTTCCTGGAGGGGTATTCTTGTGATTTTGGGATTTCTACTTAGTCTACTATATAAAAAGGTAAGCTTGCGTTCTTCATAGTAAAAAGAAGTACATGCTTCCTCTCTTTCCGCCTTTATTTCAAATCTGTGTTTGTCGCAACTGGTGCAATCCCAGAGTTGAGAGGAAATTCTTGGAGTCCTGTTTGGTGACGATGGTGTCATCAGTTTGTTGCTTCTGAATTGACATAGTTCAAGGTTTTCTGTATTTTACCTGATGTATGGGTTTAGTAACAAATTCTGTATTCAATAATTGATGGTTGCAAAGTGAGGGGTTATAGTAATTGATGGTGGCAAAGTGAGGGTACATAACTAGTCATGCAATCCTTAACAGGTAGCTTTTCTGTCTGCCTTGGCCGGTGTAGATGTTGCAAAATCTGCTGCTCGAGCATCTGTGACAGCTTTATCCGAGGTGGACTCCCGTGCTGGTAAAGGTGATGTTGGATCTCTAATCAGAAATACAGAACGGCAATATTGTTTCAAATATTGATAGAATTGATAATTTAATGCTCTGCTTCATTGACCGCCTAACTCAGGAGAATCATTCTTTCTAATGCAGAAGCTGATGCTGCATCTGGCAGGGGAACTACAGAAAATGAGTTGGAAAAAACAAGTTTAGATGCAGTTTCAGCACTTGATAAGGAAGAGCTGGAGATAGAAAGAGCAATTTCTGAGATTGCAGAAGTTAAGGTGCGGGAAGCTTGAGTAATTTCATTTGTTGTTTTTGGAACTAGTAAATTATTTGCTAAAAGTAAGATGTTGTACAGCTTAAAGAGATCCGTGATAAAATTGTTCAGTTCGAGGAACTGGATTTACACATGGAGCAAGAGCGGCAACAGCTGGAGCAAATTAAAAATATGCTTTTTGTAGATCAGCTGAATGTTCTACTAAATAGAAGTTCTGCCCAAAACCAGGGCAACGCGTAGAGGGAGAAGGTTAAACAGATGTTTAATACTTAATTGGCTTTTTGTTGTTACCTTATTCGATCAAATGCTTTATTGTTTATTTTCTAGTGCATTCACTTTAGTCATTCCATGATATATCTATCTGTAAAGGGATCCGGAAAACCTCCTTTCAATATGATTTCCAAAGCCATCATGCCACTTCCAAGTTTGAAACACTATCTGTGAATTTCAAGGAACAAAAAGAAAAAAATCTACTGAAACAGCACTACCAGAGTGCTGGTCTCGGTAATTCATGGTTTGATGTTTTTCCAGTTTAATTAAGCATTTTGAGTTTAGAGTTATTAAAATGAATCTAAGCTAACAAGTTATTATGGCTCAGCTTCAATTTAAACCCGACTTTACATGTCCTTGTAATTGAGCAAACAACGTAAGTAAAACAATAACAACAGACAAGAAACGCCTGAATGCAAGTGGAAGATCTTTCCCACACCATCAATGACTATTTCTTCAGACAAATCGGAAGGATGCAACAGCCTGCAAAACCATCAAAGGGTTACAACTGAGTAAAGAGAACTGGAGTTATTAACAAAGATCCACGTGTCCTAATTCTTATAAAATTATATGAATTAAGAATATCTTAGTATAACGTCTACCTTCTCAATTTTGGAGCTGTATTTCTCTGATTCTTCTTCCACAAACTGCAAACAAGTTGGGATCTAAGCTTGATTATGGCTAGTCTTCCATAAAACAAGATGGAACAGGAAAGCGCAAAACAGAACTATGACCAAGGGAAACAATTCCGAACCTGTCCTGTCACCGTGTACAGTCTGTTATACCAACCATTTGATGCCATTCCAAGTGCTGAGAGCAAATGTCTCTGGCTTTCCCCCGGATTTTGCAGTGTATACTCGATGTAGTAGAATCCTGATCAATTAAATCCATCATCATATTTTTCTCTCTCTCCACCATTTTAAGAAAAAAAAAAAAAACAATTTTGATCCGTTTCTTCATTAAATTTAACTATAAACAGAATTCATCCTGTCCCAGTTTCATAATTTCAACACAAGCACATGTACTGCATTCACACAAGAGAATAGAGTTTTCAGACACGAGGATTGATACCTTTGGAAGCTTTACAATCTATGAGTTTTGCAGCAACACCTGGAGGCCTCTGCCAGCTTCTATCCAATCCACTAACCTAGTGAATGGCGTTTGTTATGCTCGTAGATGGATACCATAAGTTGCGCAAAGCAGCAAAAAGAACGTTTGGATGACAAGAAACAAACCAGAGTCTCCGCAAAAGCTTCCACATTACCAAAGGATTCCATCCTTGTAAAATCCGGACCAAGCCCCGTGATTGTGACACTCACTGAATTTATTCAAGAAAGAAAGAAATACTGGTGAATAATGTGAGCGGAAGAGATGGATCCACCATAAAACTCCATGAATACCATTTGAAGTCGATGTTTCTTCTGGGTAGAAAGCTATTATTGATTTGAATCCATTAGGTTCTCCTGTGCCAACTTGCCAATCTGCATCAATCTTCAACAACTAGCAATTACTTTTGTTCTACGCCTACTTCAATTTTGTAAAACATATGAAAGCTCCATATTCTCGAAGGCCTGAAACTTATTACATCTAATTTGTTAAATCTTACTGTTGTCAAATCTTGCCCACATCGTTTGGAGGGATTAGTACATGAAGACATTTTTTTTTTTTTTTATGAACAAAAAAAGACTACATTTAACCAACATAGCAGAAATTTGTTCTATTTCCATCATGCCATGTCTAGGAAGGGGATTAGAAAAAAGAATTCACCTTGGGGAATTGATATCTTGAATTTGTTCACATCATCAGTATATACACGGAAATCCGCCGGCACATCTGAAATAACAGAAAGCAGAATTTATCCCAAATACTGAAAATCAAGAGCAACAAATACGATCCACCGAAAAATCACCCGTTTATTACCATTCTCCGCCAATGCAGCGGAGGTAATAGCCGGGAATGAGATCGCCGCAAAACCCATCTGCAACATAATCTGTCTTCTTCTAGTCCCAGCATCTTCTTCTAGTCGAATTTGAAAGCTGAACTGCGAAAACCAAATCAAAATCGAAATTAAAAAATTCCATGAAACAGGAAAATTACCAACCTAGAATTGATATTAGATGGATATTCTTGGCGGGAGTTGTTGCAGAAAATAATGCGTTGCTTTCTGCATACATGGAGTCCTGGCACAAGGGGGAAAAAGGAGAGGTCGATATGAGAGAGTGAAAATCAGGGAGAGCGAGAGGGTTAAGGTGCATGAAGGACCTTTGCTCTTGACCGAGCAGCAATAGCCAAGGGGGCGATAGAGAGGATGCAGAGAGGAAACAGACGCCATGCCTTGGAGATATATTACTCGTTGCTGGCTGTTGCTGTTGTGGCTTGCAACGTCTGGAATAATAAAGAAGCTAATTTTGAAAATGTAAATACATAATACTTTTTTTTTTTTTAATCTAATAATAATATTAATTTGAATATATAAATTATCTATTTTTTTTATATATAAAAACATAACTAAAAAAATAAAAATAAAAATCAAACGAAGTTAATAAAAGTCAAAATATTCTTTCAATTTTCAACCGTCATATAATTATGTTTCTGGAACAATTAATTAATTATTTTTTGTTTTTTTTAAAAAGGATGAAAATAGAATTTGAAATTAAATAATAAAGTTAATTTAAAAATATTGAATTATTATTTGAATTCTGAAAAATAAGACGGTAAGTATAGTAGAAAATTCCAACAGGATTAACACTGCGGGAGGCGTTGGATATTATTAATGCAATTAAATTAGTAATATATCTTTTTTCGTACAAAAGCAAATTAGGCCTGCGTTGCTTTTTACCTGCTTTTTTTTTTAATAATAATAATAATAATAATAAAGCCCAAGCCCTTAACTCGTGAAAAAAGATAAATCCTCAAAATTAAATAAATATTCAGATTTCTCTGAATTTTTTCTTTTACGAAAAATAAAAAAAAAAAGCGTTTTAGAGCTTCCCTTCGTTTCCAGTTCCAAACCCTTGATTTCTTCTCTGCTCTCTCCTTCGCCTCTCATTTTTTTTTCTCTATTTATTGGTAAGTTTTATTTTCCTTTATTTTTTTTTCCTTTTTTTGATGTATTTTTATATTTTTCTCTCCACTGTAAATTTACGCAAATTATATTTTTCTCTGTAAACTTTCTTTTATCCTGTTCTATCTACAAAAATTGGTGTTTTTGCCATAATTCATAAACTTTAAGCATCTCTCTCCTCTAATTCGGGAATATCTACAGCTTCTCTTGACGAATTTTATCGGAGCATTATGCAACCAATTAGGGTTTTCTCATTAACTTTTTCTTTTTCTTCCTTTTTTTTTTTTTTTTTTTTTTTTAAAAAAATTTTTTACATGTTACTTAAATTCTATCTGGCTTTTCCCCAAATTTTGGGGGAAAATATTGGCTCTTTGGGATTAGGGTTTAATAATTTTTTGATTCAAGCCGAAAGTCTTTTCTCTAAATTGAACATCTTCTCCAAATATCCCTACTTTATCTTCTATTTCTTCTTCACACACTGGTCTAAGTCACTGTGCGACAGTGAAGTGGCTTCCTTTTCAATTAATATTTTTATCCGTCAATACCAGTAATTTTTTTTTTAATTTCTTTAGAGTTTAGAGTTTTAAGATTAATTCTGTAAATTAGGATCTCGCATGATCTAAAAAGGAAATTACAAAAATTTTCTATTTTTACAGACTGTAATTGTATGGAATCTTAGTACACCAGAAGATGGCAGGATCTGAGACAGGAGTGATGACAAGTAGAGAACCCTTTGGCGTGGGTCTTCAAATGAGCCCTGTACCGTCACAGCCGGTGATGCAAAATATGCGTTTAGCCTTCAGTTCTGATGGGACTGCTGTCTACAAGTCTATGAACGCCACTTCCCCTTCCTACCAACCAAATTCCACCGGCGCTACCCCTGTCGGTGTCGTTGAGGGTGGTTCCACCGGCGGACATGCTATGACTCCAGGTCTTAACATGAACATGGGAAGCGAGCCAATGAAGAGGAAGAGAGGGAGGCCAAGAAAGTATGGTCCAGATGGCGCCATGGGGTTGGCTTTGATGCCTGGACAGCAGTCCGTCGCTGGAACCCAGTCTATTGGAGCTGGAGGCTTTTCATCTCCTCCTCTTACTGCATCCGCTTCCCTTCCATCTGGAGCATCAGTTTCTCCAACTTCCTTGAAGAAAGCCAGAGGGAGGCCTCCTGGTTCTACAAAGAAGCAGCAGCTGGAAGCTTTGGGTACTTGGCTATTCTTTCATTCGTTTTTTATCTAGACGAGGATTATATTTTGCGCTCAGTTTTATCTTGGTTTTTATTTGATGTGGGTAGTATTTGGTTTTTAATTTTTATAGCGGTGTCTCACGTGGGGGCATGAGGTTTTTGAGATGTTTTGCTCGATGACAAGAGTCTGCTTTTGACTTTATCCTCGTGCTTTGGTTATCTGAAGCTTTTTCACATTCAGATTTTTCGCGGTTAGTGGTTCTTTTGTAGGGTTTTATGTCAGGGAATGTAGTGGTCACTCACTAGTCGCTTTTGCTATTGATTTAATAAAAGACGGAATATGATATGTGTTTATGACTCGGTAAGCTAGAAAATCAGGGGAACATGGTAGTGCTGGAACTTAGGATACGTTTGAGCTGACCTCATATTCTTATATTCAAAATTACATTTCTGTCCTCCCTTGGCTTACAGAATTTCCACTGCAACATGTGCACGCTGCTCTTTTTTTCATTCATATGTTTTGGACTTCTATTGATTTTCTTTCATTCACCTAATGCATATGATCTATCTGAAAGTGTTTGCAAAAAAAAAAAAAATTTGCTTTCTTTTTTCTTGCTGCATCATATCCAAATTACTGCAAAGACATTGTTGCATTCATCTGAAACAAGCTTTTCTTTTTCCTTTCAGAAAAAAGACAGTATCTGTACATTTTATGTTTCTCCGGTTTGTCATGTTGTCTAAAGCGCATGTTCATTACTATTCTATATTTTCTCACGGAGGTTCCTCGGTGCAGGACCAGCGGGGGTTGCGTTTACACCTCATGTCATCACCGTAAAAGCTGGAGAGGTTCCTGTTTCTCTTCCTTCAATCATTTCATATTTACTTTCTTCTCTTTGATAGAAAAACATATCTTTTCTAGATTTGAGATTCAAGTGTATGTTTTAGTTGCAATTGTTGAGTACATTTTATCTTATATCATCTATTTCAATTACTCATTAGATGTTAAGTATATTGAGATGCTTCTTTCAGTTTTTCTTTATCCTAATTGGTATGGTAGCTATTGACTTATGCCTGATTTTCATCTGGTGAATCCTGGAGAGCTACTTTTTTTTTTAACCTTGTCCAATTACTATGCAATTATTCTTAATGAACAATTGATTTCTAAGTTGTAAATGTTGTGTAAAATGCGGTTCTGATGATATTCCTAGGTAAATTTGAGTTGATTGATCACATCTTTTTATGGATCAAAAGCTGCTGGCAAAAAGGAAGAAACACTTGCTTTATCAATTTATTTCTTATTGTCCAATTTGACTGTGACAAGTACTTTTATAAGAGGGTTTATATATTCACGTGAGCTTGATTCGTAAATTAGCCTACGTAATAAATATGCCTATCCTCGTTACTTCTTTATGTAAATTGAGACTGACTAGTTATAAGCTTCAATTTAGTTTATTATATTCAGGAAAAAATATATTAATCTGGTGTGGAAGACATTTCAGGACATGAGGGTAATTATGTGTAGGATATGTGATCCTGTTCTGTTCTATAAAGACTGCTGTTTTTTTTTTTGGTGGGTTAGGGGAGTGAGTTTGTTGCCTGAAGCCCTCTGTTTGGTGACAAAAAGGATTGCAAAGGTTCATGGTGAATGAAAGCTTTAAGATGATTGACTAACCATTAATGGTTCATGGTGAATGAAAGCTTTAAGATGATTAATTAACTATTAATGATCCTTTATATCGTACTAAAGAAAGCCTGTTAACTCTAGTGTTCCTAAAATATTAATCCTTTCCAATTGATATCCTTTTAGTTCATAATATTTTATAGAAACTTATTTCATGTCCTTTATAGTGAGCTTCTCTAACAGGCTAGTCAATCTTCTGGATAAAAGAATGTTTCATCAAAAAATAGTGTTACTGTGAACTACATACAGATTTTGCAGGTATGGTGATTTATTCTTAGCTGTGAGCTTTTAGCCATTGAGATTAACAACATAAAAATGACTAATACTATAGTAGTAGTTCACTAACATTGTCTGAATCTTCTAGTTGTCTGGAATTAGTAAAAATAATTTTTAACTGCACTCCTCATTTCCCCTAATTTACTGTTTGGACCTGGAAAACATATTCGGTGCAGAACATGTCCTCAATGAATTGTATTATCATTACATATCAATTGGACAAGTTAGATTGGCAAACCAAACATCAAATGGAAAGTGATAAATCTAGGCCACAGAAACAAAATTTTGTCATTTTTATCAGAATACAAGTTCCTTCTGATTTGTATTATCTAAGCATCTAGAAACTACTGTGAAAGAAATCAAATTGCTCTTAGAGGAATATCTATAGGCAATTCAAATAATTGCATGTGGCAAATGCAAAAAATTAATCCAGAATCTGGACTATTATTCTTATAGTTTGTCACAGTCAAGTGGGTGATGCCATTTGGGTTTCAAGCTAATTTGTTAGATTCAGCAAATTGTCCATTTGTTAAGCTGCATTAGTTCTCGCTCTTTCAGGATGTGTCATCCAAAGTAATGTCATTTTCACAACATGGACCGAGGGCTGTTTGCATCTTGACTGCAAATGGAGCCATATCCAATGTGACTCTTCGCCAACCAGCCACATCTGGTGGGACTGTAACTTATGAGGTTTGATACAAAGAATTTTCTGTTGGCATGTTCTTCTATATGAGCTGAAATCATAATTGATGCATCTTGGCATGTTTATGGGTCAACTTTAGAAGAATTTTTAGATACTCTGGCTTTAAGTGTATCTTGGTGAAGTTGTAAAGATACTATTATTGATTGGTGACTTTTTTGAAAATCTTTGGCTACAAATAGAGCTATTTTTACCCTCTGCTCCATTTTTTTGTATTAAATTCTGGTTCAAGAGGCATTTTTTTTTTGGATAAATGAGTTCATCTTATTAGCAATGAATTTGAAAGTAGTGACCCCCAAATTCTAATGTTGTTGCTTCATCAAAATAGGTGTATATAGCAAAAGTAGGATTAACTCCACATTGTATATCCAACAGCATTTTTTTGTTACTATGAAATGTAAAGAGACTATGTATGGAGTCTTTTCTATTCTGCCTATTTTCAAGATTTAAGCAATGTGGTATGGTCTTGTTGAAGCTCCCTGCAGATCTTTGGGTAAAAGTGTCTTGAGAAACAGATACTAGAAAAGAAAGCTGAAAGCCAGTGGCTGTGAAAGTGAACTTATTCTGCCAATATCTAGCTTATGAAAAAACTAGATTAACATTTAATGTTCGTCAAACTTGAAATTTTTTAAGTATAAACAAACCACACTAAACTTGCTATTAAATTTAGTCAAAGTAGAATAAAACTTTACCTATATTCCCAAAGGATTACATAAAAAAGTAGTTCTGTAGTTCATGAATTTATAGTACTACTTGGCACATTATATGCCCTTCGTGCCAAACATGGTTAATCTCAGACTTCCTGTGCTTGTCTGCTTCAATTCTAATTCAAGAGCTGACATTGGGAGTGAAAACTTAGCCCCCAACAGACTTGTAGTAACGGGCTTCTTTTACTGCATGGGTCCTTCGATTTGTAGATACTTCTATAATTATTAGATTACATAGCAGTTACCAATATGGATTCTAACCAACAATAACTGTAAAAGTGTGATATCTTTTTTATTTCTGAACTGCATTTTTTAATTCAAACTTCAGCACTATACTTTTGAACTTTTGTTGGCTTTTTGTTTAAGTAGTAAGGCATTTTTTTTCCTATATTTCAGACATCTACCATGGTCACCTATTGGCTCATATTAACCATACTTTTGTTTTGTTTATGTATACTTGACATTCTCTAATAGTTTTACCTGTGATTCTTTCATCTCAGGGAAGATTTGAGATTTTGTCACTTACTGGTTCATTTCTGCTAACTGAAAATGGCGGTCAGCGGAGCAGAACTGGAGGGTTAAGCGTGATGCTATCTGGTCCAGATGGCCGGGTTTTAGGTGGTTGTGTGGCCGGTCTTCTGACAGCTGCATCCCCTGTTCAGGTTTATTATCTTTTATGTCAATATAGTTTTCATCTTGCTGACCTTGTATGATGGATTGAAACAGTTAATGGGAAGAAAAATGCGGAGTAAAAGTTTTTCAGGACTTAAATGAGTCAGGAAATTGTGATAATAGGAGTTCTATGGCTTACCATGTATTTGTGGGAGCAAAACTTCTATATTACCCTTTTGCAGCCCCAACTTAATGTTATGATTTTATGTGCACTAACTCTATAAGCTTAATTTGCACGTCTGTTTGAATTTTTTTGTCATGGATTTTTTTGTTAGTATAACGTAATATATATATTATTTTTGTGTTTGATAAGAGTTGAACTTCTAGCCTTCAACTTCTGAAGGTGGAGAGGTATCACTTGACCTTTTGTCATGGATCCCATTCAAAATTATTTAGTGTCCAAAGCTTTCTGAGACAATTTAGAAATGGAATTTTATTTTGGTTGTGACTTGTATATAAATTGAATGAGAAATTAATTTGCAAATGAATTTTGAGGTTTGAATTAAATCATAATACTAAGATATCTTTAGAAATTCAATTGATAACTTCATTCAGAGAAACTAAAACTAGAGAAGAAAGCTTTCTCAAGTCTTCCCTTTTAACTCTTGAGTTAACTGGAATCCAAGATATATCTGATCAATTCCAGATAGAATTAATTGTAAAGAAAATGCTCTTGGTTGTCATAGTATTAAAATAGAAACTTAGATTTGCGAATAAACTTTTACAAATATTTGTTTAACATAAAATTCGTTTGTTCCGATTGTATGGATTTGTAAACTTCAAGGTTCTGCTCAGTAATGCTTAATTATTGAATACTATTCTCTTCAGGTTGTTGTTGGCAGTTTTCTTGCAGATGGTAACAAGGACCTAAAGCAATCTGGAAACCAGATGGATCCTCTATCTGCTCCACCAAAGCTTGTTCCAGTTGGTGGACCAGCAGGCCCCAGCAGCCCACCGTCTCGAGGAACCCTTTGTGAATCGTCAGGTGGGGCTGGCAGCCCACTTAACCAGAGTACAGGAGCCTGCAATAACAATAACCCACAAAGCATGGTGACCATGCCATGGAAGTAAAAGCTGTCATAACCGAAGTAAGTGCTTCACTAATTTGTGTAGTAAAACATGGGCTCTGTTGTTGTCTTACTATTCACTATAGCCTCCTCAAGAGACCCATTTGTAATTTGAAATGTCCCTTGTAATCGTTTAAGAGTAGAATGAGAGACTTGAGAATGCTTTTCTTGCTTGACCTTGTCAATGGCAGAGAAGCACCGGGTAGGTTAGTGATACTCAAAAACTCTGAGGCTGTGTTGGTTTAGGGAATAGAGAAAATAGTATGTTTCTTTAGGTGTTAAAAAGAGTGAGATTGGATTAGTTTTTAACATGTCTCGGCATACTGTAGTTCTTTGTTGTTGTTGTTGTTGCTAATTTCATGGATCGGAATTTGTAGTTGTCTCCATTGATCAGATTCAGATCAGGTTCAGGTCCACATCTTCCAACCCAGATCTTCAGCTCTGTTTTTTCTGCATTATTTCTTTTGATTCTTCATATAGACCACTTGGTATTGTTGAAAAGAAAATTTTCATTAGCGGACAAAACTGTTTGGGATAAGGATTATGAGTAAATTATGCATGTAAAAGTTTTCCATTTTAAAGTTGTGTGAGTATCTCCAGCAATTGGTTTAAATGGTATATTTTAATCTTCGGTGCTATCTTGGCCTGCAAGTGAAGTGGTCATATGATTCCCGCTTATCTGAATTGACGAAGATTTTTCTTTTATGTGAAATTGGAATTTAATAAATTATTTATTTATTTTTTCAGTCTTTTAAAGTTCTTAAAAAGTCTTATAACAATTACGTGTGCATTCTGAAATGGTTCAAGGTTGTTTTATTTTTTGGATTTTAGTTTTTTAATAAATAAAATTTACTTCGATTTTGTATTTTGATATGTAATTAAATTACAATGAATTTATTTTTTTATTTCTCAATTAAAAAATAAAAACATTTAATTTAAATTGAAATATATTTTACTGAGTGTTTCACCTATTCTAAGTGAGCCCCATATGGAACTAAAATAACGCATTCAAAATTAGAAATACTTTTATTTCAGTTCCACGTATACCTTCAAATAACTCAATTCTTTGACCTTTCTAATAATTTCTTATATGTGAATCCACACAAATATTTCACAAAAAAAAAAAGAAAATGTAGGTTGAGTGTGTGTTAAAATCACACTTTCAGCAAACTTGTTTGAATCTAAGAAGCTACTGTTTTACCGTCTTTCATGCATTACAACAACAAATTAAGAGTAGCACATCTAATTTCTTGCTCTCTTTAACAGAAGACGCAACGAAAATATCCCAAGAGCAAGTGTCTGCCAAAACCATCCCTTTGCATTAGCAGGATCTACCTTCTTTGCCAGGTACCACGCATAAATTGCCTCACCAATATGTAATGCAACACCTAGTGCCAACACTATTCTTGCTACCAGCATTGACCGGAAGAAGAACAAAGTGAAGGCTCTGAGATGTGGCACAGGTCCTATGTCTGGCAAGCAAGCAACAAAAAATAGTAAAACCATTCCAATCACAGCAAATAACCACGCATATACAGTAGGTCCATCCAGGCTTTTCCTTTTTCTTTCCTGCCAGTACGAGATGGTTTTAGCAATACCCTCCCTTGGCGTCACCATTGGAACATAACCAAGCTCCTCCTTGGCTTTAAGGAAAGAGAAGTAATGGGTTACCCCAACCTGTAAACGAAACAAATGCCTCAGCGAATATGATGCACTACTTTTACATAATCTGTCCATACTATGTTATAGATGCAAACCTTGTATACTTCAGCAGGAAGGATAAGTGGCTGCGGAAGCCACCATCTATTTAGCCATGGATATAATATCGTATAGACTGCCCAGAAAATTTTCCCCAGAAATAAAGCTTGAGGTACAGATAGGGAAGGCTTTGGCAAGTCATAATCCAAACTTCTGAGCAAAGGTTTGAGAAATTCAAAGCTGTTCACTGGATGGCCTATTAAGAATTTTATTTCTTCAATAATTTGAGGAGTAATTTAATCATCAAGAAACTAAGTCATGCATGGTTCCTGAATGCATTTCTTAAATTTCGTAGTTCACAATTTAGAGAAAGGAAATTAATAAAAGTTTAGAAGGATTACCATCAGACACAAAGTATGGCTGACCAGCAGCTACTGGCTTCCTTTCTTTTCCAGGAATATCATCTAAGAGCCCCACGCTTGCCAATAAGAGTGCAAGTACAAGGTTATCAACATAAATCCAATCTGTTTTAACAGTTGCTTCACCAATCTTGAAAGGCAACAAACCTAACTTTGCCAGAGATATTATTCTTGGAAGATGTCTTTCTTCACCTGGTCCATAGATTGCAGCTGGGCGAATTGCACAGGTATAGAGATGCTTCCTATCATCCTTCCTGTGAATCATAGAAGTAACATGCATCTGAGTTTTAATGGCACCAACTAAATCATAGACAGACATCCCGATCACTAGCTAACATTAGTAATCAGAACTCTTGAGTTGGGTGCACGCAGAGCTGTAAAAAATGGGAAGTTGCAAACTCCAGTAACGGATGTTTTAAAACAGAAGCCTGCCATTACATGACATGACTATACAAGGAAATGAACATGGCATGAGCACTCTCGCAACAAATAATTGCTTACTTAAAGGGACGCCCATTTGTCTTGAGAACCAACTGTTCAGCAATTGATTTACTACGAGCATATGGATCAACATGGTCATCGATTGGGAAATAAGACAAAGCCTCATTGCCATTCTTAATCTCCTTTCCCCCAAACACAACATTATATGTGCTCACATATACAAGCCTTGGGATGCCAAACTCCAGACAAGCATCCAACACATGGCAGGTTCCAGTTATGTTGACCTCATCTACACGGCCAAACTGGAGCATTTCTTTCCCTGACATACCAAAAGAAGCCAGATGAAACACGCAATCCGCACCTCGCAAAGCTTTTTCAACATCTTTTTGGCTCACAAGATCCCCTGTTGTTAGACCGCGAACAACTAGTCAGATCAATACCCAAAGCAGATAACCAGTTGGAACCTAATTTAGTTATTCACCAAAAATCATCTTGCTAGTGCCTTGTGACTTCATCTTAACACTCTGATCATATTCCCAACAGAAATTGAATATAAAAATTTAAGGAGTAGACAGCGAAGTATTCAAGTAGACACAAAGCTTGGTACGGATATTAGCATATTTTCCACATAATAGTCCATTTTCAAGGAAATGATCTATACATTACACTGGCAATTCTTCCATCCTAGATCCTTGTTTTTCACCTTCATGCAACAGAAAAGAAATAGAACTGATGAAATGTTCGTAATTTTTTGGAAAAAGAAAAACTAAAATCTTAAGGAGTGAATGCGGTCAAATCGGAATGAGGATGGCAGTACAAATGGATAAGATTGAGGGATCAAATTCTTGAGCCGAAAGTGAAAAGTCAAAATCAAAAGATTGAAATGGAACCTTGAATACAGTGGACTCCGCGGGTGATGAGATCGTAGGACCAAGGAGACGTTGCACGGCAGTCGAAGGAATGGACCTGTCGAGCACCACGACGGACCAGTTCGAAGCAGAGGGCGGAGCCGACGAAACCAAGGCCACCGGTCACCACAAAGGTTTTACCCTCAAATCCTTCGTTTTCGCTCAAGTGCATTTTCTTTGTTTTGTTTGTTTTTATTATTTTTTTTGGGCTCTCTATTTGCTCCAAGGAAGAGTAATAAAAGCAGCGGTTATGGCGATCGCTACAGCCCAGCGGTGGCTCCGTGAGAGTCGGGTCGAAATCGGGTCGATTTGATACCATGTGGTTCGTATTTGTTTCCCTTTTCTTTTAAGAAGAATTCATTACGTCATATTTTCTTTTGCCGAAGCCAAATGTGATGTTCTTTCGGCATTTAAGATGTATACATTTTACCGTAATTCAATATTTTTATAAATAAATATAACGTTTCATATCGAATTATAGAACTCTTAATTTATTTAATTTCCGATATTATATTTTTATAAAAATAATATTTGAATTCCAAATAGTTCTTTTTCTTGTTTTAAACTCCTGACTCGTGCTAAAATAAATATGAGTGAGTTCAAACATATTATTTTATTAATATATATATATATATCAAATATATAATTTTTATTAAATAATTTCCTTTTTTTTTTTTTAAAAAAAAAACAAAGTTAATTAGAGAAAATGCAGTCAACACTACTTTTTGTTATTCAGTTTGTCGTCTCCCAAGTGAGTACTCCAGACTGGAACAACTGGAATTTCTGCTTCTCTTTTTTTTTTTTTTTTTTTTTTTTTTTTTCTTGGAAGGAAACCTTTGTTTAAACTTGTAGGTTTGCAGTTATAAAAAATAAAAATAAAAAACTTGAGTGATAATAGAGGCGAAGTAATTCAGCTGCAAAAACTGAACAAATCTTTCAGTAATTTCACTCTATGTGGCTACCTGATATCATCATTTTTGTTCTTGGATCTACTGCATTCTTTTGTAAAAAGAAAGAAAAGAATTGAAAGAAATAAAAAAAAAAAAAAGGGGAAAAACAGAAAAAATAAGTGAGGAGTTAGAAAAAGTTGAAGTTGCTGAATCTTAAGCTTCCATAGCTGGCGCTTGCATAAGCAGTGAGAAGTTCATTTTGAGCAGACCAGAAATCAGCTTTTAACCCTCCTCTCCTTATGGCTTTTAGAATTTTATTGCGGTGAGCGTACCCTGTTACCACTACCTTTTGACTGTTGGCATCTACTTCTACCTTCTCTATCCCTGCAGTACATATTTCAGTATGTTACCTACCACCTTATACATGTACATACATGTAAATTTCTCACCAAAGAAAAAGAAATTTGAAAGACAAGAGTACTGTACCTTTTAGCTTCGATAGAGATTTCCTGAGTCTTTTCTCATGAATCCCAACCATCTCCACCTTCAACTCAACACTCTGCAAATCAACCACAAACTTCAATGAGTAACGAAAGTTTAAATATACAAAACTGGACTGCTGTTATGTGAGAAAAGGATAATATATATATATATATGTATATATGGGTTACCTCCATGAAGAGGTAATTAATTATATGGACGTGATGATGACTGGAATATGGGAACAGAAGAAACTAGAACCGAGAGATATATGTTGATAATTTTTTTATATCTAGTTGAGGAAGAAATGTCAGGTGTTACATATACATATATGTATATATATATATATACATAGCAGGAGAAACATGCAAAGAGACGGAATAAATTAAATAAACAATCAATCCGATGTCGTTTGCCTTTTGCAAAGAAAGAGAATGAAAACCAAGAAACAAGAAAGGTAGTAGCTCAAGCTTCAAGGAAATGATTGGGTTTGACGGGTCCAACTTGGCTTTTGTGGGAACATCTCCAGATGAATCAGGTGAGTAGTTGGGTCTCTTTTTTCTGTAAACTAAATAGAGAAAGGAGGGGATGATCTCCGCCGTCCATTCCACATCACTACCACATGAATCTTTTTGGTTTTGCTGGCTGGATCTACAGTGAAGGAAAAGGGTTAGAGGGGAGTATAAAGAAAAACCAGAATGAACCAGGCAGCACGTTTGGTATTTTTGAGTGAAGTCTTATTAATTAAGTACCTAGCTCGGGTCTTGTGTGAATGTATTCGTGTAACTCTAAATATACATTTAAGTAAGCTGTGTAATAAATTTGAAAACTGGAAAAGCAAGTCAAGTATGAAATGAGAATCAAGGATGGTTGGGATCAGCGTGAATGTTGAGAGAATTGCGTTGGAATCTGAATCTCGCGTATTTTCAGACTTGCTGCAAACTCGAGACTTTAATCCCCACAATCACATTGTCTTTTTTCCTTTTTTTTTTTTTTTTTTTTTTTTTTCTCTTCTTTGAATTCTTTTTATTGCATTCTCTTCCTCCTCCTTTATGTTAACGTACTGAACAGGAGTTTTCACTGTTTACATCCCATTGAAAAATTCCATCCATTTAGTCTTCTGTCTAAATTTTACAAAATTCAAATTTCCATTGTATATGCTCTTGTTCAATTCAGATTAAAAATATCAACTCATGCTTAGTACTAAAAATATTAGAAAACAAACATGAGAGTTTAAGTATGATGATATGTGGTGCGAATCGAGCAGTAATGAAACGAAAAAAGTTCACAAAATCTGAAAAGCACAATACATTATTTTTACTAGTATGATGGAGAATAATACATTTAGTTTCTTAGTTTCTTATCTTCGATGTGGAAGATTAACATGATGAAATAGTGTAGGTGATGTAAGATTTATTGAAGGAGTAAAAGATTAAACATGTATCTGTCTTGAAAAAGAATAGTTAGTATGATAAGTTGGGAATGGTATTTATGCATTCAAGTCACTAATATGTAGTTGTGTGTGAAGTTAGATGGGAGTAGACATATGAGGCAGATGTTTTTGTATTCATTAGTTAAGTAGTGTTTTGTTCTTACTGAAAAATGAACTAGTACATTTAACTTGCCAATTCGAACAAGTAAAAATTGACCTATGGAAAGAAGGAAGAAAACCAATTTTCCTTGGGTATAACTCAACTCACACTGTGAATATAGTTTATGTATTACCCAAGCTAGAAAAACACAAAGAAAAATCTCGCAAATTTGTACAAAAATGGTGTAAAAATAAGTTGATCTCTTTCTTATTCGTTCTCGTTCTCCTCCAGTGATCTCCCCATTGTCTCTCTCATAAACATATAAGTCACCACCAGTCCAATAATGCATACGGCCCCCAAGCTCACCAACGCAGCTCTCATGCTGCTAGTTTCTGGGAATCCATCGTTGTCCGTATCTTTCGCCGCCTGTATAAATCCAACAGCTCCGATAATCGCACCCACCTTCCCAATCGCACCCGATATCCCATGACAAGTCGATCTAAACCTCGCAGGGAATAGCTCTGCCGGAACTATAAACGTCGTCGTATTAGGTCCAAAATTTGCGAAGAAGAAAGTCAGCCCATAGAGGACCATAAACCCAGCGTCTACGCCTCTTCCCCAGTGCTTGTAAGGTATGCCGATAGCTAAGTAAACGATGGCCATGAAAAAGAATCCCATCATTTGTATTCGAACTCTTCCAATTTTATCGATGAAATAGACGGTCACCCAATAGCCGGGAATTGTCGAACAGACGGCCACGATTGCCTGGAGTCTAGCCACAGCGAAAGCTTCGCTGAAGACGCTGACGGTTGGATCGTTGTCGGTATTTGGTACGTACCTGTTGTAAATTTGTGATTGGAAGAGGTTGCTGCTGTAGAAAACGACGTCGACTAGAAACCAGGTGGTGGCGCAAGAGAAGAGGTCGCGGCCATGTCGGCGGAAGAATTGTGGGGAGAAGAGGGGATAAGAAAGTGATTCTGGTGTCGTGATTGGTGAATCTTCTGCAATTTGACTCATGGAAACTTCTAACACTCTCTCCATGTCCTTTGCTGCCTGGGCGACGTTACGCTCCACGAGAGCTGTGAATCTGATCAACACCCACAAACCACCTTTAAATCCAAAATTCTTGCAACGCAAAGAATATATCCGCTTATATAAATGTAAAATTAATTGATATTTTTAATTAAAAATTTTAGAATTTTTTTAACGGGGCATATAGATATATGTTATATTTTTGTCATCATAATCAAGATGATATATGTTATATTTAATTATATGTGACATATAATGCAGAATTTTTTAATTATATTTACAGTCTCTTAATGTTTTGTTTGATATGCATTAACCATTAAACCATCTTAAATAAAATAATAACAGGAATTAAAACTCGGGTATCATTTTTCTTTTATCAAAAACAAAAGTCTTACTCCTGCAAAACTACAAATCGCCTACCTGGCAGTTTCAGGCATCATCATTCGCCAATAATACGTCAACGCAGCCGGAATTGCACCTAGCATAAGTATTAACCTCCATGCCACGTCCGCCTCATCGGGCGTCCCATCTCCTGAAGCCGCCTCGAATATCTTGCAGATCACCATCGTGACAGCGGAGCTCGCCAAAATCCCAAGCCCCTGCATGGAGAAGACCGCGGCGATGAAGGCGCCACGTGTCCTCTTGTTGGCAAACTCCGACATGATAGTTGCGGACAATGGGTAGTCGCCGCCGATACCGACGCCCAAGAGAAACCTGTAGAAGATGAGGCTGCCCACCACGCAGTCTCTGGTCCTGCAGATGGAGAAGCCGCAACCGAAGGAGCTGACCACCATAAGCATCAGTGCTAGACCGTAGACGTGTCGCCTCCCCTTGCGATCACCCAGTGAGCCGAAGATGAGCTGACCGATGACAGTGCCAACAAGCGCTATGGCGACAATGATAGAAACGATATGGAGGGGAATGTCGTATTGCTTCTTGATGACGACGCCGTTTTGGTCAACGACGAGGGTTTGGTAGTAGATTCGGCCGATGATTCGCATGATGGGTGGGATGCAGAAGAGATCGTAGGCGTCAGTGAAGAGGCCCATGCCGGCGACGATGATGGCTTTGAAGTGGTAGTATTGGGTCCTGGCTGCGTCCAGCGCCGACAGCACTTTCAGCGCCATTTCTCAATTAGTAACCCAATACTTTGATATTCACAACCTTGTTAGAGATACAATTATATGAATACTTGAGTCTGTTACTATGTTTCTCGGTATATAAATGTGTTGGTTGGTGGTAATTAGAGGGGAGGAGGTAGCAGGTAATTTCGTTGGTAATGAAGTTGATGAGATTAAAGAAGACAAGAAGGGTTGACTAGGTGAGTTAATGATTCCATGAATATGCGAATCAGCTGGAATTTTTAATAGAGTTTAGTTTTTATTAATTGGTATGGAATATACATTGATGCATATATGTCTGTTTCAAATGTGTTGTGTATTAAATTTGCCCAGCTGCTTGATATGGTTTCCGCCGGCATGAATATATGCGATGCTTGTAAAATTTGCAGAATAAAGGATAACTGGTGTTTGATTATGTCAAAGAAGGAAATTTGCAACATTCAACTGCAGTGGATATGTCTATCATATATATATATATATATATACACACACATACATACGAAGGTATGTTAATATGCTGCATATATAATCTTATTTTACAATGGAAACTCCATCTCATTCGAAGCTCCACTACCATTTAAACAACAGCCTCTTTCTCATAATTATCATTCAATTTAGTTTGTCCTTTAAAAAAACCAGATCGGGTGAATATGTGACTAAACTTTAGTCTTAAACTTTATAATACAAATTTCAGAATGTTCTGAAAAATTTATAATAATTGGGTCCGCCCGGAAATTAATTTAAAAAATTAAATAATATATAAAAATATAATTTTAAAATTAATAAATTTTTATTTAATGTAAAATTAGGAAAAAAAATATGTTGAGAATGAAATTGAAAATAATTTTTTTAAAAAAAATGGTGAAAATTTGGGTTCGGATGATATTATTGAAAGAAAAATATGAAACTGAATGTCAAAACGCAATTAAGAAAAATTGCACTGCGTAGAACTGCCCACTCAGCAGTCTCGACGAATCAGAGCGCGCCGCGTGACAAGGCACATTGACTCGATGTCACGCGGGAGGCCACGCTAGCAATCCGCGTGTCTGCGATCGGACGGTTCGAATGCGTTCCGGCGAGCGTGGACGGTCTGGATTCGTTCTCTCCTCATGTAACACCCAAGTGTTTTTTTTTTCTTATTTTATCTTCTTATTTTTTTATTTTTATTTATTTGAATTTTTTTAGATTTTTATTTAATTTAATTTAATTTAATTTAATTTAATTTAATAAAAATAATAATAATGATAAAATTAGGTAAAAATATTATTTGGATTTAATTGAAATTGATTTTGGGAAAAAGGGGTGAAAATTTGAATTATGGGGGTGTTTTTGAAAAGAAAATCGGAGACAAGGGGTCAAAACGCAATTTAGAAAAGTTGTGTCACGTCAGCACCCCGGTTAGCAGCCCTGACCAACCAGGACATGCCGTGTGGCAAGGAAACACTGACCAGGGGACGAGCCACGTGGGAGATCCGCGTGCATGCGATCGGACGGTCCAGATCCGTTTCCGCGTGCACGGACGACTCAGATCAAACGTACGAACGGACGACCCAGATTCACCCGTACGGACGACCCAGATTCAATCAGGCACAGATGGCCCAGATTGCATCGCGATGGAATGTCCAGATTTAATCCCAATTAAATCGCGATCGGACGGTCCAGATTTAATCTTGATGGACAGTTGAGATTAAAAGGCAAAGGGTATAAATAACCCCACCTACACCTGACCACAAAACCCTAGCCGCCAGTGCCTCGCTGGAGAAGAAGAACCAGACGTCGGAGGAGCCGGCCGCCGCCACTCGCCACAACACCGGGGAAGTTTTCGACCGCCGATCGAGATAAATTTTCTTCTCCTCGCTCGTTTTTCGATGCTGAGTTCGCCTATGGCCAAACCGGAGCCAAACCACTGGCCAAACGGCCGAAAAACTCAGCCGAAGTCCAGCGCCGCCGCTGCGACCCTCCTTTGTTTTTTACCTCCGATGAGACCCTTCCCGGCCTCCGTTTGATGCAAATTTTATACCATTGTGATCACCGTTCTTTTCTCTACAGGTTGATCAGAGCCAAAAATCAAAACGCGACTCACGCCGAAGGAGCTGCCGCACCCGAGAGCACCGCCACCGGTAAGTTTCAGTTTTTCGTGATTTTTTGGCCCACCGAGGGTCCTAGGGTTGTTTTATCGCAGGGATCGATGCAAGTTAGATGAATTTGGCCAAAAACGGCCAACCCGAGGTAGATCGCCACCGCAGACGGCGGCACCGTCGCCGGAGCACGGCGGAGCTGCTGTGCCGAAATTTCAATATTGGCCGAAAGGGGCCCTAGGTCTGATTTGAAATTTTTTGGGACACGTGCAGGTACCGGTAGTGTGTTTCAGTTTTTCTGGAAAAAATTCAGAGAAATTAGGGACAGCCTGTAGGCGTACTGTAGAGTCGAATTCAAACCCCGAAACAAGT